AAACTTCCCAGATGCTTTTTCATAGAGAGAGTCACCAATGATCCACTTATTCTCAGGGGACCTCAAAAAAAAAGTCTTCTCCTGGAAGTTTGGAAGAGCCATTTTATGGGAACTTTAAGAGTGAATGTTTTTCTAGTTTTTCTTGCTTTCTCATTATAGAAATGGACTTTCACTGAATAAACACAAAAAAACCCCAATTCATCATTTTCTCAGGGGAAAGCAGTGGACAATTCATGAGACAAAGGACTTGCCTTGATCTCAGAATGAGGTGGTTGCTAAACCAGACCTCCAGCTTACCCATCAGGACCTGGAGTTTCCTTGTCCTGAGCAGACCTGGTCTCTAGGAGCTGCTTGTACTTGACCCGAGATTATGAAAGCTTTCTAAGCGCTGGTAGGAGACCAAGCACTGAGTGTGATTTTGCAGGTCATAGGACTGATGCGTGGTGTCAATACATTGCCTCTCTCGGAGATCAGAGCTCAGGATGGAAGTTCATGCATGGATAGGGTTATATCTCACCATGCCATGGAGTACACGTTGTGTACAAGAGAACACTCCTCCAACACACACACACCTTTTTCTACAGTGGCCGGTGGAAGCAACTCGGGCAACAGAACAGAGAAGAGCCCACTCATTCCCCAGTGCTGCTGAATGAATTAAGTGGCATAACCAAAAGGAGATGCTTGGCTCCACCATTATAGCATGTACGACCACTGGGTCAGAGTGTATAATCTACTTTGCATTGCTCCCCGAACTGTTGGCTCAAGTGCAAGGTTAGGATGGAAGGCACAAGATCATCAGTAGAGGGGCAGTGAGAGGGAAGGGGTGTTAGAGAGGGAAGGGTGACATAAATAGCATCCCTAGTCGTATAATAATGGTCAAAGGAGCTGGGACAGGAAACAGCATGAGGCTAATCCAGCACTGATTTCTTTGAAGCAGTCTGCACTGCCTCTTTCAGCTGTTATATATACTAAAGGAGGGAAACCAAATGCAGAGGAATCGCTTGACTTACAGTTTAGGATGGGAAGGAATGTCAGCGAAAGTTTCCTGCACTTGAAGATTTGAGAGGCTTTTGATAAAGTGATAGTGCCCCCCCCATTGTAATTCCTCCTCTCTGAAACCTGAGCATAAATTGAACAGTGCATTGAAAATGACCCTGAGAGGGCGCCTGGGTGGCTCAGTTGGTTAAGCGACTGCCTTCGGCTCAGGTCATGATCCTGGAGTCCCGGGATCGAGTCCCGCATCGGGCTCCCTGCTCAGCAGGGAGTCTGCTTCTCCCTCTGACCCTCTTCCCTCTCATGCTCTCTCTCTATCTCATTTTCTCTCTCAAATAAATAAATAAAATCTTTAAAAAAAAAAAAAGAAAAAGAAAATGACCCTGAGAATGGTCCATGACATGGGATGCATTTGCTGCTTTTCGAATAGTGGAGAATGAGTGTGCCTGCAAACCAAACTTATTATACCACTCTATAGTTATTCCTTAATTCACTGTAGCTGTTTGTTATAGACACTGGGGCACGTACTAACGTAGGACTAACATCTGAATTTTCTCTGGTCTCTTTGGCCTGAACGTCTGACCAAGGCAAGATTGGGTGTCCCAGTGGGCTCTCCGATCCCGCTGCCTTGCTCACTGCCCCTCAGCAGAGCATGTGTATTCCTGACCCTGAACTTTGCTCCCCTTTTTACTGAGAGCCTTTCTGTCTTTTCAAGACCCAGGCCAGGCTTCTGTTTCATCTGGTTCTTTTCACTGTTATCACAGCCCACACCGGTCATGCTCTGTTCAGGATTTCCATTACAGCCAAAATCTGTTTTGCACATAATTGTTCTGTAATGCTTTCATAGGTCTGTTTTGTCACTCCCGGATGGGCTGTAAGTTCCTGAAGAACAGTAATCATGCTTTATATTTATTTTATTGACTGTCCAGAGCTCTTGGCACAGGGCGGATGCTTCATGGCAGTTCCCTAGCTAACTGAGATGTTCCTACAATACGTCATGCTGTATGGAGCCTTTTGAGACTTAGGAAGTCTGTGCCATTATGCATTCAGTTAAATGAATGCTGGATGAAATATAATATGATCCCAGTTTTGCTGTGTGTGTGTGTGTGTGTGTGTGTGTGTGTGTGTGTGTATGGTGCGAAGACACAAAAGACTAGGAAAAATGCTGGAAAAATCTCAACAGTATTATCTCTGGGTACTCAGATTAGCATGAATTCCTTATTAGTTATGCTCTTCATTACTCTTGTAAACTACTTACAAAGAATATTTTTAGTTTATGGGAAGTAGGTCTACTCTGACAGAAGTATTAGGAATGAATGAGGTAATGAAATTGATAAATAATTATTGTTATCATAAGAAGCTCAGTACAGTGAAACGGAAAGTTTGCGATGAATTCGGGTTGGATGCCTAGGATTCTTTGTGGGTCTATCCCAGTGTTTCCCAAAGTGTGTTCCAAGGGGCACCATTCCTACCACAGGTGTTACATTTAAATAATGTGGGAAACAAGGGCGCCTGGGTGGCTCAGTTGGTTAGGCGGCCAGCTCTTGATTTTAGCTCAGGTCATGATCTCACGGTCATGAGATCGAGCCCCACATCAGGCTCTGCACTCAGTGCGGAGTCTGCTTGAGATTCTCTCCCCTCCCTTTTTGCCCCTCCCCAACTCGTGCATGCGTGTGCATGTGCTCTCTCTCAAATAAGTAAGTCCTTAAAAATAATAATAATAATAATAATAATAATAATAATAATAATAATATGGGAAACACACATTCTATAGCTGTGGAAATTCACAATGTCCATTAGCCCTGAATATTCCTAAAGCAAAGGAACCCGGCTCTGATCTACCTAGTATTTTCCAAATTTTTTTGATCATGGAATCCTTTTTGCTTATAATGCCTGTTAACATGTTGGGAAGCATTGTTGTGATTTTTAAAGAGTAGTGTAGATTTTAGTTTTGAATGTCTTTGTATTGCTTGTATATTATTAAATATTCCCTTGGTTAAATGATCTGAAAGGGTGACAAAGTTAGGAGTTTGACTTCTTTATTCCAAACCTATGGGAGCATTTTCACACAACATCACATGATTTGGTGACTTTCTCTGTGATCATACCAGGACACAGCACCTGTCATTACTTCATTAAGTTTTAAAACCGTATTTGCCACAATGAAGAACTAAATGAAGAAAACAAGCCGCAAGCCTGAATTTACTCACCCTTCTCCAGAGTCCGTCTTCAGTAGGAAGTTAGTCATGGGAAACTGTATTTTCTTTTTCCGCAGATTTTTTTTTTTCATTTCCCTATGAGTTTTTGATAGTGGTGATGATAGTTGAGAGATCACCCCCAGCACTGCTTGGAAATTATCCCAATAATGAAAGGTTGCAGGGCTCAACCACGATGTCAGGTAATTGGTGTATAAATTGAAATGTGCATGCTTCCATCTGAAATTGAATTTGCCTTAAGTTGTGGGGATTCGCTGGGAACGAACGTCCAGACATCCTGGTGGGAGGGTGTAACACAGAAGGATGGGACTCTGCCTTGCTTTTGCCCTTCTGTGTCTCTCCCTCCCCTCCATCCCATGGCAGAAACACACAATTCACTGGAAGCTCAGAGGGTGGTTATGCATTTGATTTTCCAAACGCTTTCTGGCTGTCCTATATACTCACATGAGAAGAAAGAGGAAGAGGGACATTAAATGTTAATAAAGCGGGTAAGGAAGCACAATATAGATGGGGTCAAGTAGGATTGGGGCTAGTAAAGGACGTGATCTCTCCCCCACTAGTCACGTAAGGCTTGGGATTACCTTTGGCTAAAACAGATACAGCCAGGGCTGGCCGTTCATCATAGGATTAGCTAACATCTGTATAAGAGGCTACTTTCAGGATTTTGCCTCATGGATTTATTATGTTTTAGAAAGTGTGACACACAAAGCTTGGTTTAATGTCATTAAACAAAATATACAGAGTATATGCGACCCCGGTGTATTTTGCACTATCTCCTGTACCCCCATGGTGGAGACCACCTTTTAGCACTGGGCGCCCCCGTTCCGCCAAGTGCCAGGCTGAACGGAAGAAAGGCAAGTACGCTATCTCCTGGAGGTTTGCATCTGTCCGTGGTTACCCCCTATGCGAGGTACAGCTCTGTTTAAATTTTCCAGCTGACTGACATGCACACAATCATGAATGAAAACCAAACAGTGGAAAATAAGGTCTTTTCAGCCCCTCGCGGGCTGTGGGAACGCTGCGGGCTGTGGCCTGGTTTCCAGAAGTCACGTGGCTTAGAATGGAATGTCTTGAGGCCTTCCACGGTGGCTGCTGCCAGAGGCTGTGGTTTTTAAGTAACACTTCGAAGTGCAACTGAAGGCCATCATCAGGAAGATGGGGCAGATAAAGAGAGGAGAGAGAAAAGTCTCTTTTTGCTAGGCATGCAAAATAAGATGAGCATCTTGGCATCTGTGCCTTTAAGTAGCAGGCCGGAGGAGCTTCTTGCAGGGTCCCGGGAGCTTTTAGAGGTCAGGGCCTATGACCTTCTCATGCAGGCATCCCCGGCCCCTGGCATGCCCTCGGCCCTGTGGGCACAGCAGGACACGTGAGCGGGCACAGACCAGGGCAGAAAGATTTCAGCCTGTGTGTGTTGGACAAGTGTTTCACCACAACAGATCACCTGTTGAAATGCAGCTTCAGCTCCTGGGCTTCAGGGGTGGAGCCTGAGACGCTCCGTTTCCAGCAAGCTGGGGGGTGGGTGCCCTTGCTGTCAGCCCAGGGACCACACTGTGAGGGTCAGGATCCCAGAGGATAACAAGACCAGTGAAAAATGGCTTCCATTTAAGTTTTGTTTCAGGAAGCTGCCTCCACAGCCCCTCATCCCCCCTCCCCCCCACCCCGCAGGGTGGCTGGCCGTGACAGCGACAGTGGGGTCAGGTGCCTCCTGGATCCTGCCCGCACCTTGGTCTGGGACGGTGAGGGGGAGGTGTGCAGGCCCCCCAGGTAACCAAGCCCTTCTCTTCCCCCCAGGGGAGGAGCGCCCCCGGGACTCCCCGGGCCCGGCGGAGGCCCAGGCGCCGGCTGGGGCGGAGGCCGGCGGCAGAACGAGCCCCCACTGCTGGAGATGCTCCCGGGCGCAGCTCAAGAAGATGTTCTGGGGCGTGGCGGTGGTGCTGTGCGTGTGCTCCTCCTGGGCAGGCTCCACGCAGCTCGCCAAGCTGACCTTCAGGAAGTTCGATGCTCCTTTCACCCTGACGTGGTTTGCCACCAACTGGAACTTTCTGTTCTTCCCCTTGTACTACGTGGGCCACGTCTGCAAGTCGGAGGAGAAGCAGTCTGTGAGGCAGAGATACAGGTAGGCAGCTCACGGACGGCAGGCCCCGAGCCCTGGGCTGCTCTCCTGAGTGCTGGTGCCGCCGGGCTGTCCCGGAAGCTGGCACTGTGTCGGGCCAGTGGGAACAGTGGTGAGAGGTCCCAGAGTCCCCTGCTGTCTGAGCGGGGCCAGGATCGGGATTCTCTCCCCGCCTCCCCGGGGTGGTGAACACCTGCTCCCTGTGTCTTCCGCCCTAAGAACTCCTTCATACGAAACAAAAGGCTGCATCTTCTAGAGAGAGCCTGTGGTAGGTCCCCAGAAAGGGTAGAACGGGGACAACTCTGTAACTCCGTTACCCCTCCTCAGGCTGGGGTGAGCAACGCGAGTCCATGGAGCCAGGTGACATGGCTGCTTCCTGCAGCTTACCTTCCCTCATGGAGATGTTCGCTGCAAAAAAATTGATTACTCATTCTCCTTCCAACCCAAGACATTTCCACCTTTGGTGATGTGATTGCATGGGTCTGATTACCCGGCAGTGTGGCTCTCAAAATCGAAGCAGCTTCTGAGCAGCTTCTGAGTCGTTGTTGACTCTGCTTTCTCATATGGAGTCCACTGGTATGACCGCCCTTTCACAAAGAAGCCAGAAACCCTGACAAGCCCTCCAGCTCAATAGAGACCAGGGTACCCCCAGCCCTCCTCGGAAATCAAATCGTTGGTCTTGACCTTGAGTCCTCATCCTAGGCCAGTTGCGGGATCTCATGGTTGCCCTAATTGGAGGCCCTCTGTGGGCTGTGTCGAGGGCTTCCTGCTGGCCCAAAACAGAACTACTCAGAAAAAAAAAACAGGAAAGAATGCTGGCTAAGGTGACCAGCTGGGCCCTGAGAGCTTAGCTTTGGTCAGCCCCAGAGGTGGGAAAAAAAATTGAAAGTTGAAGGTTCTTCACTCCTTTACCACTGTCTTCTTTCCCACTTCACCCCACCTCACCAGACACATGCCCCATAAAACCACCACGCCCCCCCGTACCATCTGCTTCAAGCTTCAGCCCTGTTCTGAAGTTGCCACCAAAAGTCACGAGATAAGTAAAAACAAGGAGCAAAGAGTTTGGGGAATGGAGGTCTAGACTCGGATCAGGATCTTTCTATGGGAACCTACCATTAGATGTCCCTGTAAAGTTACAGGTGGAGGTGTGAGGTGCCCAACTTTTGTACGGTTCAGAGAGAATCTGGACTGGCTCCTTTGTTGTAAGTCAGACCACTGATTCCAGAGGAAGGGGCTCCGATGGTGCACGGACTGAGTCACAAGGCAGCCCCACACGTCCCCTTAGTGGAAAGGATTCAGAGCAAAATCTGGGGACAAGGTCTGGGGCAGGAGTAAGGAGCCTGGAGCCCAGAACCAGGGCCCAGGCCTGGGGCATTCTCAATATTAAATTAAACCAGTGGCTTATGGACCCGCCAGAAATTGCCAAAGAGGCACTTAATACATCTCTCTTGAAGAGCAGCCAAAAGCAGACAGGTTTAGAAACTTTGCTAGGGCCCACGATTGTCCTCAGGGCAAGAGGAAAATAATGGTCTGCTTTTGGTCACAGACAAGAACAGATACTCAGTAAACAATGTACTTAACAGTCGTGTAGCTCTGAGCATAGTTTGTGATTAGAAGTTTGCCTTTCTTTAAACTGCCTAGAATATTGAGGTCCTTCTTCTTAACAAAGAGCTCAAAGTGAGCTGCTGTGGCCTTTCTTGAGAGAGAATCACTGGCAGAGAAGGTGACAAGGGTTTCCCTGCTCCCTTCTCCCTTGCGTGCTGAAACGAGGCCTCCCCTGAGGGCAGGACGGGCTGCCGCCTTAAACACGTATCCCCCTCGTGCCCACTGCTCACCTCGGGACAAGACAGGCACTGCGGGCCACTCAGGCCAGGCCCCGCACCCCTTAACTGACTGCTGAGAACAATACAGAAGGAACCACGCTCGGTGGTGGTTAAAAGAGTCCAGGTGGGAAAAAGGAGAGGTCCCTGAAGTGGATTAGTTCAACACAGACATCAGTCAACACGATTTCCGCTCATTGTCTCCCTGTACGAAGTGTCTGGGAAGGACCATGAATAGATTTTGGAGGTGGAGTCAGCTGGAGAGCAGTGATGGGCAGGGCCAGTAATCACAACATAATCAGGGAAGCCAGCTAAAACCCTGCCCAGTTTCTACAATAAAGCTTAGCTCCACCTCTTTAAAAAAAAAAAAAAAAGTCACAAAATCTTTCTTGAAAATCAGCTCTGAGCAGAGCTGCCCCATTTACCAACCAGTTACTGGGTAGCTGGTCAAGCCGCGCACATAGCCGTGGAGGGGCAAGGAAAGATTCTTTCTCAGGAAAGGGAGAGAAACATTTTAACATCACCGACTTGACTTAGGAGATGGTGACTCTGTCACAGCTACATTGGGAGTCCTCGAAACAGACTTTGGGATTCCTGGAAGTCAAGGAAAACTGAAATCACATCTTCCGTTTGGGGCTTTTGTCAGAATTAGTGCTGGGGAGGGAAAGATCTAGAGGCAGCTGAGGAGTTGTGTCTCTGGCTAAAAGAAGTGTTTCGGCAAGAAACTAGGCAGAAAAGAGCAAAGGTAGAGCCCTTTCACAGAGAGGGAAGCAGTGAAGGTAGGTCTTCTTGTGGCTGTCAGGAAGCAATCAGATGGAAGGTTCTCTGCCCCAAGCCCTCCCCTTGCTAGGCTAGGTTTCCCCAGCGTGAAGCTAAAAAAGTCAGCCAGGGCAGAGAGGAAAGCATCCATTGCCCAGCACAGAGCCCCCGAACCCCAGCGAGTCCACCTGGGATCTCGCTGAAGGGCGGACGCTGATGTATTTGGTCGGTCTGGGTGGATCTGAGATTCTGCTTTCCTCACGAGCTTCCCGGGGATGCTGCTAGAGCCGCTGCCGGCCCAAGGGCCACACTTTGACTCTAACAGCCCTGGAGACACATGTGAGGTTTTTAAATGCTGCCCATCTGACCAAATGCAGGAGCCAGGATTCACCGTACTATGTAGCGCTGATGAGTGACTCACTTTGGGCCCCGGGGATGTTTGAGCCCCGGTCCTGTGCCACTTTAGAGGGAGGAGAGGCTCCACAGGCGATCACGTAAGCTCTGGGAGCCTCAGGTGCTCATTTGTAAACAGAATGTGATGACACATGCACCATCTTGCACACAAGATTGTTGGGTGATCAGATGAGACACCGTACGCACAAGTGCCCTATCAACTGTGAAATGCCATTAAAATGTGAGGAACTGTCACTGCCCTGTGCTGTCCTCTGTGGGTTGCAGCCAAGGATGTAGCCCAGGCCGCATTCATTGGGCGCCTTACGGTGATATATTTACATGACAAGAGTGGGTACAAGTGCTAAGCCTGCGGGGTCATGCAGGGGTTATTCCTTGGAGAAATCCACTCCGGATGCACAAGGCATCCTAGGATTGACCCGGGCTTCTCATAATCGGGCACTGTTGTCAGGAATTAAGAGTGTGAACGTGAAAACCCCCCAGCCCAAGCATCCTGGGTTCCCAGTCTCAAGCCTGGTGGTCCCCTGGTGTTTGCTGACATGCACCAAGGAAGCAGCAAGAGATGCGTGTGGGCGCTGTAGAAACTGCCGGCACAACCCGCCAGGGTTTCCCCGGAGTCTCCTCCACAGCTGGGCGCCTGGGGAGGAGGCTGCATCAGATCCGTGCAGGTATGACTTTCCGAGACAGGAGGACAGCTTCTCAGATCCCAGGGGCCCGCCACGGGCAGCAGAGATCAGCCAGAGCGGATCCGGAGCTCCTGCACACTTGTCAAAAGGCCTTCCAGGAATTTCTACCCGTAGTGACCTCTTTTCATAAGCAAACGCTAGAACCTTCTGCTATTGCGTAGCTGCCAAAAGAGTGAACGGTACAGTGGTGACAGATGTTTTCCTCTGCCTTTGGTAGTTTTGGGCTTTTGTAAACTAGCCAACTGATTCTGTTTCAGAAACACCGAGTAACAGTCTGAGCCAAGAAGGGGGCAGTTTTGATGCCTTTCATCTTAAATCCTACCAGGGCCAAGTGTGTACGTAGCTGTGCGGACTTAACGCAGGAACCGTGTGTGGTCTTGTGGCAATAACATTCAAGGACTAAGGAGCAAAGTGGAGCGGTTGCGATCCAGATGTTTGTTTCTTCTGAAAGCAGCATCACACGTCTTGTCTGGGCGAGGCACTAGGGACACAGAGGTGAAGGAGCACCCAGTATGGGAGCCAGACAGGCAAGCAAGGGGGAGTGGGGTGTGTGCAGGGGAGCCTGGGGGAGAGCCCAGGTGCCTGGGTCCTGGGGCAGGGTGGGAAGGTTTCTTTGAGGAGATGACCGAGGAACAACCTCTTTAAAGACAAGCAGACGGTGCTCTGGGGGCTGGACCCCGGGCAGGCAGAGTAGCTCGGGGAAGCACAGAGGCTACACAGAGAGAGCATGGCCCGTGAGGGAGCTCTGATTGGCTGTGGGACATAAGTGGGGTGGGGGAAGTTAGACAGGAGCAGCCCCTGGTGACCCTCCCACACCTTGGAGAGAGGGTTGAATTCTGGCATGAATACTGGGGCGGGGGGGGGGGGGGGGGGGGGGGGGGGAGCGTTCTAGGTAGAACAGAGAACAGAGAAGCCATGAGACTGGATCTAGAAATACCACCGCTGCGCTGTGGGATGTGGAGCAGAGTGCGAGGCTGCAGGCCCATGCAGTTGAACAAACTCTTGTTGACGTCTGTGTATGGGGCATGCGGACACATGTGGGGAACGCAGATGATGTTCCTCACCGTAGGAGCTCACAGTGAGCAAGAGAGAGAGAGACCCACATGGAAACCAGAACGAGCTGTAAGGAGGAGGCAGGCAGGAGGGCAGGCAGCCAGGGTGTGTGTGGACAGGGCAGGGCAGATGTTAGAGCTATAGTCAGATTGAGGCCCAGAGCAGAAGGGCTTTGGATGCTGCTGGATCAAGGGCTTTATTCTCAAAGCAGCAGGATCCTTGGGGACATTTTGAGTAGAGGACAAATATCATCAGAGCTGCTTGCAAAAGTAAG